CCAAGATGATCAGCACCGGACTCAGTGAGAGAAGGATGAAACTGCTATAGGGCTCAGATTTTATTTCAAAAATGTGATGTATTTGGATTAATCTTGTAGCAGTTACTTGATCAAATTTATAAACTCTTACCATTCTAAAATACTTGTTGAAACTATGCTTGAGAAAGTCTATTTAAATTGAGAATTTTAATTGTTCCCATTTTGCAAAATTATTGTTATTTTTTACATTAAATTTAGGTGTTACAATTTTGGTACCAGAGCAGTTCATCCAAACCGGAGTGGGGCATCGAGCTAAAGCGTCCAAGCTGAGTGTTGATTTGTTTTGTTTACCTGAATTATAAATGTTGATATGGATCTAACATGTTAGAATGTGGTTTGTTGCATTGTAGTTAGCTTAGCTTAGAATGGCTGGTATAAGTAAAGGAGCAAGACATACTAATGACCTCATGGAGCACATGGCTCAAATTCTGGAAACCTTGGTGCATAACCAAGACAGAGCGCCGACTGAATATCGAGGGTTATCTGCCTTCACTAGGCAGGATTCTCCAAATTTTGAGGGAGGATTCAACTCCGAGGGAGCTCAAAGGTGGTTGGCGGATGTAGAAAAGGTCTTCAATGCAGTGGGGTGCCGTGAAGAGCACAAAGTTGCTTATGCCACATACTTGCTATGTGGAGAAGTGGAAGACTGGTGGAGATTTGCCAATCAAACCCTGTGATGAAACGAATTTAGCTACTTGTCATGCAAAAGATTGTCGTTAATCCTCATCAAATATGCAAGAAATGAATGCAATACTAGGGTGTTATCGTAGGTTGTCTCCAGGAAATTTTTGGTTGGGAACATACATCGAACAAGTGTAAACATGAATTTTAAAGCAAGTAAAATGGGGGGGGAATTTTTGTTAATTTCCAGATTTAAATCAAGAACGAAATGTGAATTAATGAAATTCAATCAATTAAAATGAGTAATTCCTAGTCAATCAATGAGTTCCATCATTATTCTTTCAAATGATTCAATAATCCCCTTTCTTTCCCTTGAATTAAGTTAATCTAACAAGCGAAAATTAACTTTAACATCCCAATTAAAATTAAGCATCTTAATGGGCTCCAATCTCTATTCCTAAGATTAAGCAACCTCAAAGATTAATCAAAATTAAGCAATTTTGAATTAGAATTTTGTTGGGTAATTTAGGGTTCATTAAGCAATGTTCCCTTCATGCAAATTCCATTTCATTCAAAGATTGGGGTCAATAAATTCAAGGAAAGATTTATATTGCAATTAATCCCAAGAATTCAAGATTCATTTGCATTGACTAGGAATTACAAGGAAGTTTAGCCCTCCATGTGGATGGGCTTCACAAATGAAAGAAAGAAATGCAAGAACGTAAGTAGCATTAATGTAAATTCAACAAAAATCAAAAGGAAAATTGGAAATTAAAACCTATAGAGGACCCTTGGCTCTCACCCAAGACTCCAATGTTCTGGGAAATTGTCTCAATTTGGCAAAGGAAAAATGTGTAAAGTGTAAAAAGTCCCGTACCCTAATTCCTAAAACCTATTTATATTGGATGCCATGTCAGCAAAGTGTCCACTTTTTGCTTTGAAAGTGTTCACTTTGGGCCAAAAGAGTGTCCACGCGCAGGATGAAAGGTTTGCTACTTCTCTAGAGTTGCCACTTTTTGTGCTGAAAGTGGCTACTCTGGTGCGCGTGGCCACTATTAGAGCCAATAGTGTCCACGCGCAGAAATGCTTCCCAAACGGCGTCCTGGAGATTCCTGGAGTGGTCACTATGAGAGGCAATAGTAGCTCGTTTGAATCCTTCAATTTCTAAACTTGCTGTAGTTGCCACTTTTGCTCTTGAAAGTGGCTACTTTGAAACCAACCTTCATCCAAGGGCCAAGATTTCTCAAAAATTAACTTGGGGACTCTGCAAAATTATTAAGAAAATTAAAATTGCAATCTATATCTATGTAATTAAATGCAAATTAACTAAAAATTAATAAACCTATGATTTTTACTCAAAATGTAATTTTTGTACTATTTACACTATATAAGTCTAATTTTTCTATTAAGGAAAACTAAAAAGACAAGTAAAAACATGATAAAATGTGGATTCATCACCCTGCCACAAGAAGGTGGCTATATACAATGGGAATCATTCAAGGTAATCTTCCTAGGGAATTACTTTCCCTGGGATCTGAAGAAGCAGAAGGCCTGTGAATTCCTTGAACTGAAGCAAGAAAACATAACAGTAGGGGAATATGCTGCAAAGTTTCAAGAGTTGATGAAATACTGGCCTCACTACTAGCATGGGGATAGAGAGGAAGATTTATGTGCTCAGTTTGAGCATGGACTGAGACCAGACATCTAAGTTGCAGTCAGTGTGTTCTAGCTGACATACTTGCCCACCCTAGTAAGCAAGAGTAGAATCTTTGAAGCCAACTCAAGGGGCAAGACCGTGGACACTATGGGGAGTGGTCCAATGAGACATGATAGAAGACCCCCTAGGTTCCCAAAAGGACCGTATTCAGGTTTGATTAATTCTCAGTCCAGAGGGAGTTCATCTCAAGAAAAGAGCAATGAGAGTGGCTTGGGATCAAGCTCTTTCAGAGGGGCCGATCAAATGCTTCAGGTGTGGAGGACCACACATAGTTAGGGACTGCCCACAGCCATAGATAACTTGTAGCAACTATGGGAAGTTGGGGCACACTGCTAATGTGTGCTGGCCGTAAAAAGGAGTGGCAGCTCGAGTACAGCCCAGAGGCCTGAATCTAGAGGAAGCACGGGGCTGAGTACAGGGCCGAAGTCGAGTATCCCTGAGAGATTCTTTGCTATAAGTGGGGCAAAGACTTCACAGTATGAGGATCTGATTAAAGGTAAATGCATTATTAAGAGTTGATTATTGGATGTGTTGTTTGATTCGGGCGCTACGTTCTCTTTTGTATTTGTGGACTCTGTGAAGAGTCTAGGTCTATATGTGACTAAATTGTTATGTAATGTTGTGGGGACTACCCCTATGGGTAAGCTAGTTGTGACATTGTGGGTGTGCTTGCGATGTTCAATAATGGTACATGGTAGGGAGTTTGAGGTGGACTTGATCTGTTTGCCTATATCCCAACTAGACGTGATTTTGGGGATGGATTGGTTGGCTGCCAACCATGTACTGTTGGATTGTAGAGAGAAGACCTTGATCTTCGACGTGACAATGGTGGAGGTTCCAAGGCTTATGAGCCAGGAAGCATGGGAGAACATGGTAAACACCAAGGCCTTTATGGTCATGTTCTCAATAGAGGCTGAAAGCGTGGTGGAGCCGGAGTATATCCCGGTGGCAAGGGATTTCTTGGAAGTTTTCCCTAAGGAAGTTTCTGAGTTACCGCCTGAGAGAGAGATAAAGTTCGTTATTGACCTCATCCCGGGGGCAAGCCCGATTTCTGTGGCACCTTATAGGATGTCATTGATGGAATTGGCAGAGGTGAAGAAACAAGTAGAGGAATTGTTGCAGAAGCAGTTTGTGAGACCGAGTATGTCACCATGGGAGCACCAGTGCTCTTGGTGAAGAAGATGGATGGGAGCATGAGGATGTGTGTGGATTACCAGCAGCTGAACAAAGTAACGATAAAGAACAAGTATCCACTTCTAAGGATCAATGATTTGATGGACAAGTTGAGGAGAGTTGTAGTGTTCTCAAAGATTGACTTGAGGTCAGGGTACCATTAGATCAGGGTGAAGGATGAGGATGTGCCCACGACAGCGTTCAAGACGCGGTATAGTCACTATGAGTATCTACTAATGCCGTTTGGAGCGACCAATGCGCTTGCGGTGTTCATGAATTACATGAACAACATCTTCCATGAATTTTTGGATAAGTTTGTGGTGGTGTTCATTGACGATATCCTGATTTATTCGAAGATTCTGAAAGAGCACACCGAGCACTTGAGGATTGTTCTGCAAATTCTAAGGGAGAGGCAATTGTATGCGAAATTCTCTAAGTGTGAGTTCTGGCTGTTAGAGATCCAGTTTCTGAGGCATGTAGTGTCGAAAGAAGCAATCATGGTAGACCCAACAAAAGAAGAAGCAGTAGCTAGGTGGCCGAGGCCGACAAATGTGACTGAGGTCCGCAGTTTTCTAGGACTATCAGGCTATTACAGGAAGTTCATGAAGGATTGTCAAAGATAGCGTTTCCTTTAACGAAGCTGACTCGCAAGGGCAGGGAGTTTAAGTGGACCAAGGGGTGTGAAGCAAGTTTCCTAGAACTAAAAATAAAGTTGACGTCAGCGCCTGTGTTAGTTATGTCCGACCCGAAGCGGAAGTTTGACGCGTACTGTGATGCGTTTGGACAGGGACTTGGGTGTGTTCTGATGCAAGATGAGCGAGTAGTTGCCTATGTCTCAAGGCAGTTGCGTCCTCATGAAGTCAACTATCCAGCTCACGACTTGGAGTTAGCCGCGGTGGTCTTTGCTCTTAAGGTGTGGAGGCACTACCTATATGGAGCGAGGTTTGAGGTATTCAGTTACCATAAGAGTTTCAAGTACCTGTTTGATCAGAGGGAGCTGAACATGCAGCAAAGAAGATAGATGGAATTTCTCAAGGATTACGATTTCACATTGTTTTACCATTCTGGCAAGGCAAATGTGGTAGCCAATGCGTTGAGCCATAAATCATTGCACTTGGCGGCAGTGATGGTGAAGGAGATGGAGTTAATTGAGGAATTTCATAACATGAACTTGGCCATGGAGGTGAGGCCGGGGAGCTTGTATCTTCGAACGACGACGATTCATAACGACTTCTTGATGTATGTTCAAGATGCGCAGCAAGGAGATGCTTTTCTGCAGGATATGATGAGGCAGAAGAATGAGGGAAAGAATTTGGAGTTCCACTCTGATAAGAATGGGGTGATTAAGTTCTGAAACTGAGTGTGCATTCCCTAAGTGAATAAGTTAAAGCAAATGATACTTGAGGAAACGCATAAGAGCAGGATGAGTTTTCAATCCGGCGCGACCAAAATGTATCAAAATCTCTGGAAAAGTTTTTGGTGGAATGAGATGAAGAGAGATGTGGCCGAATATGTGGCTAGATGCTTAACTTGTCAGAAGGCAAAGGTAGAACACCAATGTCCACCTAGGTTGCTACAACCATTGGAGATCTCTGAGTGGAAATGGGATAATATTTCCATGGACTTTGTTTCTAGGTTACTGAGGACCAGGAACAACCATGATGCCATTTGGGTGATAATGGATCGATTGACTAAGGCTACACACTTTCTCCCGATTAATATGAAGTATAAGTCAGAAAGGCTTGTGGACTTGTAAGAAAGATAGTCAGGCTGCATGGAGTGTCGACCAGTGTAGTATCTGATAGAGATCCAAGGTTTACCTCGAGGTTCTGGGAGAGCCTGTAGAGGGCGTTGGGCACTAAGTTGAAGCTTAGTTAGGCGTATCATTCGCAAATCGACGGTCAGACAGAGAGAACCATCAAGTCCCTGGAGGACTTGTTGAGAGCCTGTGTGCTTGAGCAACAGGGGACTTGAGAGGAATGTTTGTCATTGGTGAAGTTCACGTATAATAACAGTTATCACGCCAGCATTGGAATGACGCCATTTGAGGTTTTGTATGGGCGGAGATGTAGGACTCCTTTGTGCTGGTATGAGAATGGAGAGGCTACTTTGTGTGCACTGGACATGATCCAGAAACAGAATGAACAGATCAAGATGATCAAAGTGAAAATAAAGGTTGCACAGGATAGACAAAAGAGCTACTATAATAAGAGGAGGAAGTCGTTAGAGTTCCAGGTGGGTGACCATGTGTTTTTTAAGGTCTCACCTTTGATCGAAGTTGGGAGAGCTCTGAAATCTTGAAAGTTATCTCCTAAGTTTATTGGACCATTCGAAGTGCTGAGTAGAATTGGTCCTACATCATACCAGATAGCGTTGCCTCCGAATTTCTCGAATCTACATCTAGTGTTCATGTGTCATAAGTTAGGCAGTATGTGTCGGACCCTTCTCATGTGATCAATTTTGACCCAGTTTAAGTGAGAGAAGACTTGTCTTATGACATGTATCCGGTGAGGATAGCGGATCATCGTGTTAAACAGCTGAGAGGCAAAGAGATCTCATTGGTGAAAATGATATGGAGCTCAAGTGATGAGGGAGATGCCACATGGGAAATGGAGAGTAGAATGAAAGAATTGTATCCGAGATTGTTTGTGTAATCTGTGTGTTTTGTTGAATTTTGGGGACAAAATTCGCTAAAGGAGGGGAGAGTGTAACGTCCTGAATTTTTGTAATATTGATTATTGTTATGTATGTATATATGTAAATATGAATGAATGTTGGAATTTACACTTGAGTGCGTGATGAATATTGAATGATAATGTGTATGAATGCGTATGGATAAATATGCGATTATAAGAGTATATATGTGTGTGTGTGTGTGTGTGTGTTGAGAATGTTGGACTGTGGCTGGTTTATTGATGAAAAATTGGCTAAGTGTCTGGTGCAAGATGTTCTCGCTGCAGTGAGAGATATCTCGCTGTAGCGAGAGGGCCCTAGGAGGAAGGCGTGAAACTGTTGCCTTCTCATTGTAGCGAGAGGTCCCTCATTGTAGCGAGAGGTCCCTCGTTGTAGCGATAAAACGACAGTTTGGGTTGCATTTCTAGATGCAGTCTCGCTGTAGCGAGAATGTCTTGCTGTAGGGAGATTCTGTAGAAACTAGGATACAATTTTCTCTGAGATTTTCGCTGTAACGACAAAGAGCGTCGTTGCAGCGAGAATATTTCATTGTAGCGAGAATGTCGCGATCAAAGGAGTATTTGAAGGGGTTAGGGTTGGGAAAATTCATTTCCCCTTTCCTCTCTTCACAATCTCTTCGATTCTCTCGACCTAAAATCTTATTTCACCGATTAAATTGCCTCCAAAACCGTTCGTGACCTAGATTGAAGGTTGGATTTATGTTGGAAACGCTTGAAGATGAGTTTTAATGGTTAGAATTTCAATTTTCGTCCCTCTTATCTATTTTTTGGATTCTCTTCGATTTCTCATGGAGTTTCCCATGTGTTTTTGGAACAAAATTCAGGTGGGAAATGTTTTCTACCATTGATCGTGTTGGGTCTTCAATCCGAGGTAAAATGAATCTACCGTATCTCATTATGCTTGAAAATTTGTTTATATTGTTACTTGTGGAGTTGTGATTGAAATAGCTTGTGCGTTTGGAAGAAAATGACTGATTGTAATAGGGTAAAGTGGAAATCTTGTGTTGAACCTAGTAATATTGACATTGAGAAATGTTATGTATGATAAACAAAATGATTGAAGGAAAATTATGATAAAAATTGTATGATTGAACCTTATGTGGTGAATGTGAGCCTCCATGCCGTGTGTAAGTGTAATGTGAATGAAAATGGGCTGTGTGCCGTGTATTGCGAATGAATGTGGGCCTATATGCCGTGTGCGAATATGAATATTGTATAAAATGGAAATGTGTGTGAATAGGGCATGTTAAATGCCGTTGTAATTATGCTATAAATAGTTCAACGATACATTAGAGGTGTGGAAGATGGAGACGGTAGAAATACCTCGGGGAAGAGAGAGTGGTAGTGACATCAACAGTGAGCGTGGGTGCACCACAGACCACACATTCTCCTCCTGACTAGACCTCTGACCAACACTTTTGCCGAGAGACTCGTGACCACCCACATGGTATCCGTGAGATGGGGATAACCGGCGACCATCTATGGTGTGAATCTGTTATCACAGTGCCACAGTGAGCATGGCTACATGCAGTGAGCGCACGTGTGTGTGTTAAACGTTGTTGGTGCAGTGAGTGCATCGGTTGTGAACTGGAATGGAAAGTATTATTTGTGATTGATTATGCTTGTGTAGAATGTGTTAGAAATCATGTGAGATGTATGAGGTGAGACTCTATGTTTGTTTGTATGTGTTGGATAATGTAAAATATTCACCCTTACATTTATTTTTCAAGTGACCAAGACGATCAACACTGGAATCAGTGAGGGATGGATGAAACTGCTATACGGCTTAGATTTTATTTCAGAAATATGATGTATTTGGATTAGTCTTGTAACAGTTACTTGATCAAAATTTGTAAACACTTATCATTCTGAAATACTTTTTGAAACTATGCTTGAGAAAGTCTATTTAAATTAAGAATTTTAATTGTTCCCATTTTGCGAAATTATTATTATTTTTTAAATTAAATTAAGGTGTTACAGTAATCATGTGTAATTTCCCTTATAAATGCAATTTCTAACATTATATGATGAATATAATATATTGCATTTATTTCTATCATGTTTTGCTTTGATGCTCACTTTTTGATACGTTTTTTTTCTTTTTCAATTTCTGCAATATTCGCTAAAGCTTTCCAACTTTCGCTTAAGCTAACGTTATTTGCTTAAGCTATTTTTATTATGCTTAAGCGAATATGAACTCTAAAAATTGATGCTTTCTATTCAATTTTCGCTTAAGCTTTTTATAATCGCTTAAGCGAATAAAACTTTATCTTAAGCTATGTAAGATTAGCTTAAGCTATCTGTAGTCGCTTAAGCGAATCTAAACTCTGAAAATGGGTGCTCTTTGTCCACTTTTTGCTTGGATTCGCTTAAGTTATTTTTAGTTACTTAAGTGTGATGCATTTTTGAAAATTATGTCTATTTTTCGCTTCAGCCTATTATTTTCGCTTAAGCTATTGTTTGCTTAAGCCAATTATTTTACTTTAAGTGAATATTTTAAATATTTTCTCTTCCTTGATTTAAAATTCACTCAAATCATTTTGTTACGTACTTAAGCAAAAATCATATATATATTCGCTTAAGCGGACCATTTTTGCTTAAGCAAAAAATAGTCTAGACATTCAATTTTTAGATATATTGGAGATAATTTGAATCCAAAATTGTGTAACACCTAAGTTACACTATGTATTTTGTATAATAGTCAATTGATGTATGATCCTCATAAGTAGTTTTCTAAATTTATACTCATGTTATTTTCATAATAATTTCATCTTAGTTAATTTTAAATATTCATAAATATAATAAAATAAATTAATAGATCAAATTTGTAAATTTGAGCATTACAAAATATGTCAGAGCAAGAGTTTTTTTAATTTTTATCAAGCTAAAATTAAATTTTAGCAATTTTATTTTTCGTTACAAGTCATTTGCATGTTTCAATTCAAATTTATTTCAACTTTGCAAAAGAAATATTTTTAACGATAGGTAACCTTTTTAAACTATTGTATCACGGTCTAGTAGAATTATCTGTCCTTCCCAGTATATAATTAGACTCTTAAATCTGATCTTAGTTTTCGAAGACCAATTTTCAAAACAAAATAGATTTTCTAAATTGTTCCCATCTTGAATAAAATTAGTGAGACTATTTTTCCAATATTGTTAATGAAACTTGATTTGCTCTCGTTGGGACACCTCTAGGCTCATTGTGACACCATATAAAACACACAACAAAGAAGTTTAAAAATATACTGTAGGTTAATTAGGCATTTAGGATATAATGACGAGAAAAATATTAACCATTTGCATCTTTTGTTACTATTGTAGGATGAGCTGAATATTTCATTAAATAAAATTTCGTATCATGAGTGCTTACAGCCATGAATTGAGCATATTACAATGTCAACTACATTCTAGTCTGACTTATGCAGGTTATGGAGTATATACAAAGAAGCAGATGATAAGAAAATACAAACTGAATAACTTAGTAAATCTAATCCTGTGGCAATGGTAACCATTTTGCTCCTCTCAAACATCTTTACGAGAAGAATCATGACAATAACATGTCCCACCTTTGTCTTCAATTCATCAAGTGAGCTAATTTTCATCCATTTAGGTCTCTCCTAAGAAAAAAAAGAATTTATACATGTTCACTTTCTTTTCCAATATGTTAGAATCGGTCAATTAATAAAACGGAAAGTGGTTAACAGTTTACATTGAATGATGTTAGGAGATAGAGTATATATTACAACTCCTATCTAAGTGATTTTTTTGTCTAATGTATCCTTATGATTAATATAGTTATAAGAGGGGGAAAATGATTATTTTAAACAAAAGTCACTTAAATAGGAGTGGGAGTGGCAATAGACACCCTAGGAGATAACTTGGGAAAGAATAATCATGAAATGAAAGATGGTGGATTCTGAGAACTTTATTAGACAATAGTTGGAGTTCTACCTATGAACACAAGTTAGAAAATATAGAAAACTAATTTCTATATATACGTATGTTTAATGGATATATATAGGGTAAATAGATGTATGACAATTTGTTTTAATTTATATTAAACTATGTAATATATCAACTACATATTATATAGGTACTTATTGCTTTATGCCTACTCATGTTAAAATGTACAAGACTAGTTTGAAACTATTATTTCATTATTATGTCTTAACAAATTTTATATTTGAAATAATTGGATTATGAGATCTTTATGAAACAATAACTCAGTTTGGGTAAACTTACAGAGAAGACCTTATACAAGAAAAAATTCAGTATAAAAAATAAATAAAACTCCTCGCACAAAATAAAAACAACATATTTCTTCAAATTTTAGAGAAATTAAACGAGAGAACTTCTTAAAACTTCTCTAAAAGTGGAGAAGTATAAGTTGATTATAGCTTATTAAAAAAAATTTATTCATTTTTTATACTAATTTTTTCTCTCATAAGTTAAAAACAACATATCTCCTCAAATTTTAGAAAAATTAAATGAGCGAGCTTCTTAAAACTACTCAAAATATAGAGAAGTATAAGTTGATTATAGCTTATTAAAGAAATTTTATTAATTTTTAGTACTAATTTTTTCTCCTATAAGGACTTCTCTAGTAAACACCCAAATTGGGTCAATATCATTTAGGTGGAGAAGACTCAACATGAAAAATGTGTGTAGATTACAAGGCCTTAAATAAGGCAACTATTCCTAATAAATTTCCAATCCCAGTGATAGACGAATTTCTGGATGAACTGCAAAGGCCCCATTATTTTTCCAAACTAGATTTAAAATCCTGTTACAACTAGATTAGAATGAAGCTGGGGGATGCTGAGAAGACAAGCTTTCAAACCCATGATGGGCATTACGATTATTTAGAAGCCTTATGGCCTCACCAATGCTCCATTAACCTTCTAGACTGCTATGAATGAGATTTGTTTAGGCCATCCCTCATAAAGATATTGCTGGTAATTTTTTATTTTTCTTTTTTTACTTTTTATCAAGTCAGAGGTGGCAGCAACATTTGCATCATCTGGAAATTGCTTTAATGGTGTCACAGCAGAATCACTTCAGGCTAACCAAAAAAGATATCAATTTGGCAAGCAAACTATAGCATACTTGGGTCATTTAATATCAGGTAAAGATGTTGCTATGGACCCTGAGAAAGTGGGCTATTCCTGAGTGAAGGGGGGTCAGAGGTTTTCTCAGGCACACTGGATATTTTCGCAAGTTTGTGAATGAATATGCAAAAAAGTGGCAAAACCATTAACAGAATTGCCCAAGAAAGAAGGGTTCAAATTGGGGGAAGATGCACAGCGAGTTTTTGAGACTTTAAAAAAGATAACATTAACCCCTGTGTTGTCATTATCCATGTTCTCTAAAGATATTTGACTGTGATGCTTCAGGAAGGGGAATCAGTGCAGTGTTGATGCAAGAGGGTGAACCAAATGCTTATTTTAGTAAGTTGCTATCAGACGGAGCATTACCTAAATCAGCTTATGAGAGTGAGATCATGATGTTAGCACTAGCAATTCACCATTACAGAACTTATTTGCTAGGAAGACAATTTAGAGTATTTACAGATCAAAGAAGCCAAAAGTTCTTACAACAGCAGAGGATTTCTACTCTAGATCAACAGAACTGGATGGTGAAATTAATGGGGTACCAGTTTGACATTTTTCACAAACCTGGTTGTGATAATGGGGCAGCTTATGCCCTCTCTAGATCTCATGGGGAGGCCAAATTTGCTTCTTTATTCTCTTTTCCCATCTAAATTGAAGGGCAGGAATTGAACCATGGGGTATCTCATGATCCACAACTGCGAAAGATCGTTGCTGCCATACAGACCTGGGTTTTCACTGTATCAAGGAGTGTAGTACCACAAAAATAGGTTCGTAATACCTGCTAAATCTCCATTGATTCCAACTTTAATGCCAGAATTTCATACCACACCAAAAAGGGGGCATTTGGGATACATCCAAACTTGCAAAAGGTTGCCTATGAATCTGTCTTATCTCGGCATGAAAAGGCAGGTGCAGGAATTTGTGAAGAATTGCAATGTATGTCAGAAACAACATTACTCAGCTTTATCACCCAGAGCTTTTTGCAACCATTGGAAATTCTTGAGACTGTATGGGAGGATATTTCAATGGACTTCATCATAGGATTACCAAAATCAATTTTAGTGAGGTTGACAGGCAGTCCAAGTACTCACATTTTATCTTTACTCAAACACCCTTAGACACCCAAGAACATTGCAGAAATTTTTGTAAGGAAGATAGTGAGGTTGCATGGAGTTTCAAAATCAGTACCGAGTGATGGAGATCTTATTTTTATGAGTAGATTTTGGCAAGGAATTATCAGGTTATGTGGGACAAAATTAAAGATGAGTTCGGCTTATCACCCTGAAACTGATGGGCATACCAAGGTTATCAATATATGCTTGGAGGCTTACTTGAGATGTTTCACAGCAAAGTAACCTCATAGTTAGACCATATGACATAGGATATATATATATATATAATCTCATTCACAGTTGGTACATCAACCTTCTTTTGTGTTTAATTGAATTGAATTGGACCACTTTTGCTTTATGAGTCTTAGTTAGGCCTAAATTCAATTATTTTAGCATAGTGCATATTCTTACATTATAGTATTTGGGTTATAACTTGGGCTTTAGACCTCGTTTAAATGTGATTCTTGTTTCGTAAGAAAGCTAAGAGATTGCCTACAACTCTCATGAAGAAGTCAGAGGCAGGCTGAATCCTAACGTCCAGAGTCAGAATTGGGCCTGAACCAGAAGAAGAAAAGGAGGAAAAAGCAGATTCTGACCAGCATGCAGTGTTTGGAGCATATCTTGGTCTACAAATATCCAATTGGACTCGTTCCAATGGTATTTGAAAGCTAATATTCAAGGCTTTAATTCATCTTTAGAGCACAAAGCCAAACGAACGCAAACTTTGGACCAAAATAACGAAGCAAGTTACAAATTTGTTCTAGAAGATTAGGTAGTTACCATTTAGCACATCTCTTTTTTTAGATTATGGTACCTTTCAAATTTTAAATTTAGTGCAATCTTGTTTTTGAATTTTTTATAAGATTACTTATTATTAGGATTATGGTTTTTATTATCTTCTATTTTAAATTTTGAACCAATTAAAAGAAGATAGGGAGAACATAGAGAGACACATTGACAGATTTAATTTCAATTTGAATTTTCATTTTTCTTTTGCATCTTCTTCTTTATTCCCTCAACTCAAGATTTTTGTGCTCTTCCACTTATGGTGGAGTAGTTTCATTATCTAATTCAATGATCAAGCACAACATTCTTGAGAATGGTTTGGAATGTTTATTTCAATTCAGATTTTCTATTTTCTTCTCTAATCTATTTAATTTTATTAAGTGAAAGTTTTTGTTCTAACTTTATTTGAGAAGTGGTTGATTCATTATTTTTCAGTTGAAGTGTATGAGTCAATTTTAAGAAATTAAAGTTAATTAGGTGGTATGACAAAATTAACATGTTTTGATAGAATTTTAGAAGTTTCTGAATTATGAATGATATTGTGTTAGTCAAATGCGTGAAAGTTTTCATATGATTTTTAGGTTTGGATTAAGGTTTCATTCGAATTCAAGTTTTTAACCTCCAAATTAGAATATTATTAATTTTGGATTCAATGATTGAGTGTTGTTGTTTTTCTTTTGATTCTTGAATTAGGTATTGTCATTAATTGATTAGTACCTCTCCCCCGGCTCATCTTACGCTCTAATTTAATAAATTGTTTTGGTGATCCTTGAGAGATGACTCTAGTTACTTGCCTCATGCTATAGTAATTAGATTTTTATTATTTTGATCTGCATATGGCCGTAGATCACCATACTTGGGCTGAATTGTGGTACAATGCCACATTTTACACATTCATTAATACAACAACATTTGAAGTTGTAAGATAGAACTGGATTAAATTATAGAAAGAAAAGTTTCTATTAATAGAAAAAAGAATGCAAACGATTCCCCAAGACTTTCTAGAGGCCTGGACTCTCCACAACAAATTGTATTTCCTCTCAAATCATCAGATAAAATCTTCCTCTCAACCCCTTTTTGTATTTATAGGCAACATACCATATTCAAACTACCTCACCTAACAAACTAAGTAAACCACTAATACAACTATGGATAACTAAGTAATCTATTTAAACTAACTACTAATGGGGCTTACATAACATGGTATGTAGGACGAAACCACCAGCAGTCCACCCACAGTTCATAAATTTATACCAGGGGAAACAAGAGTGGAAGAAGTATCTCGAGAGTTAAACAACAGGGATGAGGCATTTAGACAGGCTAAATTTCATTTAAATAAAAGCCCAGTACCAGATGAAGAGAGAAATTGATAAGCATTGGAGGGATGTGAATTTTGAAGTTGGAGAAACACTAGCAAGAATGATTGATCTGAAATTAGCACCTCGGTTTGACGGACCAATACCATTACAAATTACAGCTAAGGTAGGAGTAGTCTCTTAAAAATTACAAGTGCCAGATTCCTCTAAAATTCATCCAATATTCATGTATCGCAAATAAAAAGGCAGTGGGAAATAGTCTTGTCATTTCCACCTTGCCTGAAGGCATGAATGCTGAAATGGGAGAGATGGTTGAACCAGACCAGGTACTAGGAGTAAGGAAAGAGTGTAGGCACAGGAAAGACCATTCAATGGTTAAAACAGTAGAAAGGAAAATCAGTTGAAGAGCTACTTGGGAAGATGATTTTGCCATGAGAAGCCAATTTCCCACATGAACTTTTGGGTAAGCTCAATAAGGGCCCAAGGATTAGGAAAGTTAATACTAGAAACAAAAAAGGGACATGAGGCAGCCAACAGGCAGAGGAGGCAGTTATGCAAAAGGAAGATTCTGTTGCAGCTGTAATGAGGATTGAAAAAGGAATTGATGGTCCTAGGGAGGGGCGTTAAAACAATTGAGTAGCAGCCTGAGGTTTGGGAGCTGAGGTATTTTCACTTGAGATTCCTTTTTTCCTTTATACTTTCTAAATACTGAATTCTGAATGTTTCATCAGATATCATTATACTGCTCATAATAAATATAAGAAAAACAAGGTAATTATCACTGTTCTAGATCCGAGTGTTCATGATTACCTTCAAAGCAAACATTCCAAACAGTGAGGATCCTTTAAGGGCACGGTCTACAGCAGGTGGCACATCAGGGGTTACATTGCTTATGAACAATCCATATAAGCCCATACCAAAAATCAACATAACCGTACCCGCAAGATAAACATCTGCACAGGAGATTCATACATTTTATTGGGTGGAAAAGAAAAAAAGGATAAATGCAAGTAGTAAACATAATCTCATCAGAAACTGAGACCAACAATGGATGTAACTAGAGAAAGAAGTACTTCCCAATGAAACTGTAAATATCAATATACTACTTGCATGATGGATACCACCTTTATGGGTTTGGAAATATGTCAGTTAATGATGATTTAATGTTCTTTCTTATACTGATGGAGAATGGTCTTCAATATAAGTTTGAAAATTTAAAGCAATATATATATATAATACTAAGGATTTGCAATGTTACTTTCATTTTACTTCAGTGCTTTCATATTCCAAGTTAGACTAAATAAAAAGAAAATCTTGACAAAAGAAAACTGTAGCTAGAGTATGCCTGATTAGTGATAAATTACCAATTGCTTCAACTAGCCGTAGAACCATCTGTCCAGTGTGGACTCCTTTGACACAGCTTGTCCAATAGACTTTGTATGCATCAATAATATAAATACAACCCTAAAATGATCCAGCATAGTCAGATATATGTAGGCTTATTCATGACATGATGAAGTATATTAACATGAACCCAGCTACTGTTTCACACTTCCACCCATACAGATAAGAAAACCATCTGAAGGAAAACAGGATTGTAAATAATCAGCGGAATCAATAAAAAAATAAGACAAATGATTTTACAGCTCATACAACTACAAATTGACTACTCTATAGGTGTTGAAAGAATGTGACCCTAGTAGCAACAGTCAGACCATTGGAGTTGTCACATGACACAATGGTGAGTTTCAAGTTGTGGAATCAGCCACTTGCAAATGCAAGTTAAGGCTCCACACTATAGACACAGTAGGTTCAACAACTCAATAGCCTTATAGCACTAGCCTGCTCTTTTTATAAAAGATATTGGAAGTTGGGAGACCATACATTTAGAAAGCACAAGAGTGACCCTGCCAAGGAACCTCCAATAGCAAGTAGTGCCAAGAAGCGGAAGTCAAAAATGACCTGCTCAACAGAACGTGAAAGCTTTCAATTAGAAAAGAGAATACATGTTAAAATATATCCTTTATTATCTACAGAATAACAAAGGATAAAAAAAATAGTTATTATTACAAAAGCATGGGAGTTTTTCATGCTCCAAACTACTTTTATCAATGCCAGCTTGTAGCTCAATTGGCATCGTCACTTCAATGTGATGAAAATGTTAAAGGATCCTCTACCAGATCATCTATTCCCTTCCCCATGCTTGCACCTCCAATGTAACCTTCAACGAAACACTTTGATCGAATGTTTACCTTTATCTTCCATTTAATAAAAGTTATGTCCTTCAGTGTATTTCACTAGTTAAAGTCTAATGATAATATTCTTTAAATAATCCTAATTATTACTCCCTTCGATCCTTTCTATAAGAAACAAAATGGAACATTTTCTTAATCCTTAGATTCAAGATGTATTAATTGTTAAATATTTTTTATACCCTTCTTTTATTAGTGTCATTAAATATACAAATTAATAACTACACCATTTAATATCATAGGTATTTTGAGAATAAAATTTATATTTATAAAAAAAATAACAAAATTAATTACTTTTCTTAGTCTTAGTGATTTAGTCTTTTGTTTCTTATAAAAAAGACGGAAGAAGTATTATTATTATTATTATTTCATTTGATATATTTAATCATAAATGATTTATTCAAGTCAAGCTACAAGTTTCTGATAATTAAGTTATATATGATCTCAATATCAACACATAAAGAATCTCAGCGCCATATAACATCTGTTATTTATTAAACACAATTATTTTTTTTTATCAGACTACCACAGGTTTCTGATCAAAATTCAGATAAACTGGAGCTACTGAAATGAATGTATTGGTAGCTATAATATATTATACACACATAGACAGGAAAGTTTAATAGATCCATTATTAGGTCACAGTAGCAGTGCATACGATTTGATTAAACTATTTTCACAGAGAAAGCATCCCTTGACCAAAGATTGACAGCGTAAGAAGTAATGAAGATGAAGTACACAGTTTCCAATTATTTAAGGCCTTGTAACCACAGTTATTCCTCTCTGATTTATTTTTTATTTTGAAATTTGTATATTTTGATCCGTTAAGGAAACTATCCTCAGCTATGTCTCAGCTCTACATGTCAACAGAATAATAATAATAATATATATATATATATATATATATATATATATATATATATATATGATAGCCGAACCCTCGTGACGTAAAAATAAGATTAAGACCACAAGTTACTTAAGAAAAAAAGATATAAGGAAAACGTTGTCATCGATGGAAATATTTCAGACATAAATTGGAGATAAACGAATGGAGTGACCAAAATACCCTTTCAATGGAAGACTCAGTAGCTCGAACGATCCTAACAATAGGGTTGCCGTTGGGGTTGGTGAGTGCATAGTTGAAGCCAGGATCAGGAGGCCTAGACTCAACGAAAGGAGTGGATGAAGATGTGTTAGAAGTAGCAGCAGCAGTAGATGGAACACTTTGTGATGATTTAGATTCAGCAGAGGACGAGGACGAAGAGCTTAAGGAAGCAAAAGCATTGGGATGGGACATTCGACGAGGAAAATGTAAGGGAGGGTGGAAAAGTGAGGGAGAGATGAAGGAGTAAGTGCAGCAGAGAGCCATTGAATACGACGAAGGAGCGCAGGATTGGACTATAATTCAATTGTACTTGTCAACTTTGCCTGTTATATCTCAGTGAGGAGAGGATGATGATATCCACACGTGGGAAACAACCATTTTCGTCTCCTGCTGCGCCATCAAAATATCTTTTTAAACGTGTTGTGATTTCATCACTATTTTTCCTTTTTTCCAAATAGTTAAAACGGAAATGATAGTTGTGAAATTTTCCAGAAAAATTATTAGAAAAAAATATAGAAATAGATCCAGGTCTATTTATTTATCCAAATAAATTTAAATACTGTAACAATAATTTTGCTACTCAGAAAACTGAATTCTGATTTGGCTTTTTTTTTTTTCAATTTTAAATTTTCTTTTATGTTTTTATTTAATAAAATAAATATTATTATTTAAATTATATTTATATATTCATATTTTATTAAAATAAATATTTAAAATATGGTATTCTAATCAATATTTATAAATATTTTTTAATTATATATAGTAAAATAAGTTTTATTATTTGAATTATGTTTATATTTTTATATTACTTGAAATGAATAAAAATAATTATTATATTTTAAAAACTAATTAAAATAATTAAATAATAAGTAAATTATTTTAGATAATTTTTAAAAATTAATTAAAATATTTAAATAATAAGTATATTATTTTAGATAATAATGTTAATGCTTAAATTATTTATACATAAAGAATAATAATTATATTTTAAAAATTAAATAAATATATTAAATATTATTCTGTTTATTTATTTATTTAAATATATAATTTTGATTTAACATTTTTAAATATTAGTATGATAAAATGATATTTTGAATAAAATTTTTATTTTAATTAAATTAATTTTTTTTAAAATGATATTATTTAATATTATAATTTTTAATATCCTAAATCCTAAAACTTTACTATTATAATTTTTAATAAATTTTATTTTAGAATAAAAAAATTATTTTTAAAAAGTAAATAAAATATTAAATCATAAGTTAATTATTTATACTTGAGACAAATATTTTAAAATTAACATTTTCATATTACTAAAGTAACATTGATGAAGACAAAGTGCATTAATAAAGATAATAATAAATTGATAACAATGTTAATAATTAACTATCTTCGTAATGGTGGTCAGTTTTACAATGAAGGCGACGTCTGTAACGTAGTGAGTTTCGTCGTTGTGGTTGTTGCTTTGAGATTTCAGGATGAACTTGCGGAGGATTTGAATCATTATGAAGGTATAGTTGTTGTAATGCATTTGATGAATTACCAGGTTTATTAGCAAAATTCAGTTGGTAAAGAGACTGCATGTAAGTTTATGCTGAAGATGGAGTTGTAAAATCAATTTCAAATAAGTTTGTAAAAAAAATCCTCTGATGTTGTTGTAAACGAATGTCTTGTGTTACTTATGTTTGCTTCTAGCGTAATGGTCGGAGGAATTGATGCAGTCTCGTGGTACGATGGTATGGAACTCGTACCAATTTCAAATGTGTTTGTAGTCCTTAGTTGTTAGTCACTCCTCCTTTGATCTTGTACTAGTGGTGGCACAGATAGGAAATAAATGGAATTGACAATGTACCATTCTATGTATTCTTGTGTGTGACACAATAGGCCTTGCTTTGGATGACCCATTATTGTCAGCTCATGTCTGTTGTTCCATATCTTGATCTATTGAGCATGTCTTGTAACCCAATTTTTATCCTGTCTTCCTCTCATGTCAATTTTGTGGAGGTCATTCAAACTATTTGGTGGAGAAGGGACTTCTTGGAAGAGACAAAACTGTAATTTGACTCTATCTATTTTGTGTCATTCAACAATTGCAAAACAAAATATGGCGGTACATGAAGTCCACAGTTGGACATCTCTATATGCTTCCATGGATATTGATGTATGCAAGTCTTGATATGGTGCCCATAAAAACTACAAACAAATTTAACTTTGTTACTTAAGATGATGTGTAAAAGATAAGAAAATAAATATGAAGAGTTACTTGATTAGCTTGAATTTGATCAACATTGATCTGTACTCCACAACATCATTGTGAGGTTTATTTCGAAAGTTTAGTACTCTACCCCCACTCCATATGCACACGAGAGGGTATGTTGGTGGATTACTAGAAATTGGCGCAATATATGACATGCGATACCATACCCAAGACATTAACAATGATAAGCAACCACCCATTATTTTACTACCAACTTCCGTGACTTTGCACATTTCCCTGTATAACATAGCTAAACAAGCAGAACCCTAACTATATCATCTTGTTCTTCTAAGATTAGTTAATAAAGCTAAATACATAAGATGTACTTTGTTGCCTGTTTTGTCAAGCATCAAAACTCCTTTAATTAAACCTAGTATATAAGCCCTACAATGAGCATGAACTTCTTCAGATGGTTCTTTTAGTAATGGCAACATGTTGTCTCTCAGCCACTTCAGTTTTTGCATAGAGCCAATAAGTGACTCTCCTTTGATTGACATGATACCGATATATGTGTCACACATTTTCTCCCAGTCAAACATTGTTGGAGCAATGAATGGTAAATCATCAACTATTAGCCCGAGTTGAAGTACAACATCCTCCAGGGTTATGGTGCACTGCCCTGTTGGAAAATGGAATGTGTGAGTTTCAGGTCTCCACCTCTTGACCAAAGCTGTTATCAATGTGTGATCCACCTTAAGATGCCTTAGTTTTGCTACCTCAGCAAAATTAAGATGTTCAAGTATAGAAACAATTAGAGGACTGGGTTCTGACATTGAATGACAGAAAGATAAAATCATATTTTCAGTTACCTGCAGTTATTAATAAATTAGTAATATTATATGTAAAATATTAATTTACATATTCAGTTAATATTAGTAATGTGTAAAACTTACTGTTCTTCCAATGAAAGCGGACCTGTGTTTGTTTTGCTTCCAGAACAATTGTTCTTCCAATGAAAGCGGACCTGTGTTTGTTTTGCTTCCAGAACAATATTTTTAGTAATGAGAGCAAAGACAGAGAGAAACAAAGAATAAAGATGGATGCAAATTTGAATAAAAACATGTGGCATTGGATGAACATATTTATAGATAAACTTTGGTACGAGAGAGTAACTTTGGAATCTTGAGAAGTCACTATCTCTTGGTCTACGTGAATGTCAGAAAGCATCTTTGTTTGGGAGGAGAGAAAGCTTGTTTGGAAGTATATGAGATGACTTGAATGAGAAGAGAATCCAATGCTAGGCATGACTAAGAAGTCACTGTCTCTTGGTTTACGTGAATGTCAAAAGGCATCTTTGTTTGGAAGTATATGGGATGACTTGAATGAGAAGAGAATCCAATGCTAGGCATGACTAAGAAGTCACTGTCTCTTGGTTTACGTGAATGTCAAAAGGCATCTTTGTTTGGAAGTATATGGGATGACTTGAATGAGAAGAGAAACATTGAATGACTGAGAATCCAATGTTACTATTATAAATAGTCATATTCATGTTCATTTTCTTCATTCAACCTTCTAAGCTTGTTCCTTGTTCTTGTGAACCTTCTCCTTCTAAACTTGTGCATTATTCATTTTCTTTAACCTAAAAATGTCTTTAATCTATGTCATTGGTCACTCTAATGGTGCCATTAACTAATGTCCGAATGAAGGAGTCACGTTCACCTCATCATTAGCCAAATTGGTACATCTAAAGAGAGGAGTGACTCTACAAAGGCTCAAGAAAGTCATCCACACAAAACTCAACTAAGACGAAAATGAAAGGGTGACAACCATACATTTTTGCTGCCCAATTAGACTTGGCCAGGGAGTTAGCAACTACACATGTGTTGAATTGAACGATGATGAAGACGTCGTCCACGATTCAAATTAACTTCAATCAGGTATAGAGTTATATGTTACATTTGCTACAAAAGTAACCCAGCCACCACAATGTTTACCTTCACCTTCACCATACCAAACTTATGAAACTATAAATCCATCTTTTCCAACATATGATATGAATTCTGACCTTCAGTCCTACACATAACTTTTAACTGGTCCATTCATGGACCTCAATGAAATACCCTCCTAACCATTTGAGCAAACCCTACTCTCTCAACCTCTTGAAGAAACCTGCCATTGAAGAACATGTTGTTGTGGGTCTTCCAGTCGAAGTATTTGATCGTTTTAGCGAGGACGAAGATGAAATCCTATCTCAACAGCAAGATAATAAAGAAGACTCATTCTCACTTCCAAATATTTCACCATCACAATCATTACCATTATACAACTCACCTCCACATTTTCTAGACTTTCCCAGTCAAATACAAGAACATGACTTTGAGTTTGGCCATGTCCTTGATCGTGAAATGGTGGTGTATCCGCCTGAAACACTATTTGTTGGCCAACGCTTCCTAACAAAAGAACAAGTGCAAGACGTCATAAATAGATTTCACATTGTCAATCATTGCACTTACAAGGTGAAGATATCAAGCACAACTAGGCTTGTCGTGGAGTGCATTCACAACGATTGTGCCTGGATATGTCGCACTATATTGCGCACCAAAGAGCAACACTAGAAAATAATGAAGCTTGAAGGGTGCCACACGTGTTTTTCCACTCATTTCACAAGATTATAACAAGTTGGGATCACGAATGATTTCTCAAACCATTCGTGAAATTATTGAGACTGATTCATCCACACCCATCGCAACCATCTTAGCCCACATAAAGTCCACAATGGGTTACACAATCAGCTATAGAAAGGGATGGTTGGAGAAACAACATGCCATTGAAAATATCTTCAGAAATTGGTAGGGGTCATACCATAAGTTATTTAGACAGTTGTTTGCAATGCAACTATATGTTCCTAGCTTCATCTGAAAATTGAGTACATAACTGGCATACAAGGGTGGCTTATTTGACGAGGGGAATGTGTTCTTCAAGAGGTTGTTTTGGACCTTTAAGCCATGCATTGATGATTTTGCCTTATGCAAACCAATTGTTCAAGTGGATGGAGCATTTTTGTATGGCAAATACAAAGGGACTTTATTAGTGGCAGTTGCGCAAGACAATCGCAACAACATAATTCTCATTGCCTTTGTTGTGGTTGAAGGTGAAACTAGCGATTCATGATTCTTTTTTTTGAAAAAC